CCCCCCCCCCCGCGCGAAAATAATACACAAAACATGATCCCCCTACCCCCCCGGTGATACACCGTAACCCCCTGGCTCACCGTCCGGGTCCTCTTGCTTGTTCTTGTCCTCCTCTTCCTCCCTAGCGGCTGCATCGGCCCTACAGTGCTTCAGCAAACGGAGTTCCGCGCCGATCTGGTCTCTCCGCGTCTTGTCGTGAACCGGCACCTGACAGTCCCGCCGGCGGACATGAAGGGGGAAGGGGGCGGGGCGAAGACGACGAACTGCAAGTGTAAAATCCCCATCATCGCAGCACAACAGTAGTCTCAAACGACACGAAACAAAACGCAACCCCTTTTTTTCGGGTTTTTGTACCACTCGGGCGACAGGCTGATTGTCTTGCGGCGAAGTGCGGGTAAAATATCTCGTTCTCGTTCTTGTAACGCTTCTTCGTGGCTTTCCGTACTGGAGGCCACGGACAAGACAATAAAGACCGATTGATTGGTGCCGCCGGCGTCGAAACCGGCACGGACGCGGACTCAAGCCTTGGACTTCCACCCACCGCACGATCCATGCGGCGGGATCAAAGCCCCCAAGAGTGAGTCGGCGACGGCGTCGGCATCGACACCGGGACCAATCAGGCTCTACTTTCTTGGGCATGGCCTCGAGTAGGGCAGGCGACGAAGAAAAGCCCCCACAAAAACGAGGAAAGACCGGCAATAAGTCGCGAGACTGTCAGTACAAAGTGTTGTTGTTGTTGTCTTCACTTTTAAAAACCGTTCGGTGCTCTCTGCCCGGTACCTTCTGTCCGTAGTATAATAGTCTTAACACTTGACGGGGTCGATTGTGGTGGTCACAGGCTAACTTACCCAAAAAAATTATACGAAAACAAAATGGACCCGAAGGGTCCGCAAGCCAATAGAATATGGAAAAGGACTAAAAAAAAGTTCACTTCCGCTGATGCCGAATGTGTGACGGGGGGTCTCCAGGCTCGAACTGCGGTGGCTCTCAAGTTTCGTGCAAGGATGCGTGATTTGGGGGACACGCGGGGTTTCACCCACTTCGTGAGAGAGGAAGAACAGATGTGCGGTAACGTGGGTATGCGAGGGAGAGAGAGAAGAGGCAGCCGGCCCGCTGTAACCGTAGGCGGACACGTCGCGGGTAGATCTCCGACAGATGCATTTGACGTCAGAATCTACGAGGCAACTCTCAGGTAACATTTCACAATACTAGCAATATTAAACTCTAGAAGCAACAGAGAATTTTCGCGGGGGGAGCAGATTGTCTTTTTCCCACAAAAGAATAATCTTGAAAGGCCCACCACTGTTGTACTGTAGCTTAAAATTTCGCAATCAACGGTCAACTTGTGTCGAACCCAACGGTGCTGATAGAGCACGGCGTATCGGTACCCATAAAACCTGGCGTATCAACAGCCGTCCGCAGCAAAGCCTAGCCGGAAACACGGTAAAATAGCGCTCCAAGTGGTGGCCTATAACCCTTCGTCTGGCTCAGCCAAATCTCTAAAAGAAGACAGTTGAAAGGAAGAAGAAGAATTTATGGAATCGAAGTCGTGTGCATGCGTTCCCACTACTGCGTTCTACCGGACCAAGAGTCGTGCAGCAGGGGGGGGGGCACTCGGAACAAAGTGGTCCGGGGGGAATGGGGTTGGTACACACCCTGCCTGCATTCCATTTGGGGCCTAGTGGTGTCAAACTCTGTCGTGGGATATTCAAATATGTACGTCACGCGCGCTCAACAGATGTGACTGACTAGTGCGGCGATACTGCTATCATAATATTAAGATTTCAAAATTGCGAGTTACATACCCTCCTAAACGCCGCGGAAAAACCTTCAGGAGTAAAAACTAAAACTGCCAGAAAAATCCGCATTGGGTGGGGAGGGGGCGGTACTCAAGTTTTGCATGCCCTAGCTGTTGGACCACTGACGACGCGTCCTCTAGAGGACGGAGCACTGGAGGGGAAGACTTACCTCCTTCACGGCAAGGAGTTGCAGAGAGGTGGCATGCACCGCTTTGTAGACACACCCCGTGGCGCCGTGGCCTAGCTCCTCCAGCCGAATCACGTTCGCCGAGAACACGTCCATCGGCCCCTCCTGACCCTGTTCGGCGTCCAGAAACAAGAAAACACAATCCTCGCATCATTAACATACTGCCAAGGCGGCGCATTGTCCGGTCCAGCATGGTTGTTGTTGTAGTCGTCGATGCCATCGGGCTTCTGCGTTCAAGTTAGTTTCCATCACGATCCCCATGTCCCCACAATTTCGTGTACGGTTCGTTCCGCGAGACATTCCACTTTGCGATGATCCGCGGTCCGAACCGATCCAACGAAAAAGGCGGCGTCAAACAAGAGAGCCGCACCATGGTCAGGCTATGTACGCCCGAGCACTTCCGTTCACGTGGGCCCTACCCACGCATGCACGGCGTCTCCTTCCTTCGTACGCCGGGCAACACCGTCGGTGCTGACGTTAACCACCACCACACAAGACCCCGCACGCCGGAGAACGGCCTAGCCTCTCCCATGACCCCCCCTTCACGGGGTCCCACATCGTGGCCATTAGAAGAGCTTTCTGTTTTCAGCCGCACTGCGACTGTCGTGTTTTGACTGGCCAGCCGTCGAAGTCACCAGGTTAAAACAAACGTGCACCACACCTACCACACACACCCTGGCATGTCATTGGTCAGTCGGCCGCCGCGATTGGTGCCAATTGACGAAGCACACGCACTTCGGTCAGCCGGTTTCCGCGGTCGATGCAAAAAAAACGAGACACCCACCAACACGTCGCCGCCCCCGCTGGAGCTGAAGAACGGCCCCACGGTCCCGTTCCCGTTGTGTCCCGTCGGGCTAAGCACCTCCTCCGAGTAGTCCTTCATGCCGTCCCTGCCGATGCGGATGCCGAACTTCTTGAGGGTGAGCGCGCCGCGGTCGGAGAACTTGTACGACTGCCTCTTGTCGTTGTACCTCAGCACGGCAGCGCGGCTGCCGCCCGGGTTCGACAGCGTCCCCGGGTTGCTCAGCATCCTCAACCTTGGTGGTCGGAACCCTTCCGGCGCCCCGCCCTGCTGCTGCTGCTGCTGCTGCTGCTGCTGTCCTTGCCCCCCACCTAGCACCAGCCCGAGGCCCAGCCCAATACCCAACCCTAACCCCATCCCCGGCTCCGGCTGCTGCCCGCCCCCCGCTGCCGCTCCTTCGC